ACATTCACTGTAGCTGCAGCTGCTATCACGTCACTACAAGTATATCTCACTATGAATCTGGATACAGCAGGATTTGTTTATTTATGATCTCAAGTACTGTCCTAAGAGACATCCTCACTTGATTACACTGCATTTCCAGCTTTTCACCATCATTTTCAGGACAAATCATACTGAAATAATTTTAAATATCATTTCATTAGAAAAATTCTTTTCTTTTTTTTTTTTTTTCTTAAGTTCAAATGAAGTTGCAATAAGGCAAGAAGCAATATTGAATTTAAAGGTCCTTAGCAGACTATGCTACTGGAAACTGCAATAATACTCTTGTCGTTTATTTAACTTTTCTTTGACAGTGACACTCCCTCTAATACTTAATGATTTTATTTTATTTTAATTTTTTGAAATGTAGAACCAATGTAATATCCAAAGAGGGAGCAGGACTTTACCCAACTTTTTTTTTTTTTTTTTTTTTTTCCTGCATGGTGACAGAGTTTTATACTCAGAAAACTCACAGTTAATTTTATATACTGAGTACAAAGAGCGAAGAATTACAATGTCCTCCTTTATAGGATAGTGTCAGGATGAAGTTTCAAAGCCTTAAAATTTCATTTCTGCTTCACTAAGGGAGTTCATTTTTTTTCCACCATAATTCAATGCAATTCGATTGAATTCACCCTGCAGGGCATGAAATTCCCGATAGATCAGGTGGGACTTTAAACTGCTGTGACTTTGCCTTTTATTAGTGCAGCTAAGCACAGAGAGATTGAAGAAAATTCTGTTTTAGGATGATTTACTTGACACTAAAGCTATAAGCACAATTTATACATGAATAGAACAAACGTATTGTTTACAAGGTAGTTATTTAAAACTATGCTTCTAAGCAGAAAGAACACATTACTGGGAGCTACAGCCAAATCCATTTTCCACTCCTGGTTTACTTTGTATTGCCTGTATTACTATGTGTCTTTCATGTAATTCATGTTCTTCAAAGTTCCGCTGCAGCCTAAACAGCAAAGAAAGCTATTGCCTGATATAAAATGCTATACCAACTTAATAAAAACATGCGATTGTTTTAAGTAGATAGTTAAGATAGTTTTAAGTAGAGTGTGTAAAGAGATTAACATACGTTAATATAGGTATACACAGAGATAGAGAGAAACACCTTCCCCACAGATGAGAAAATATACCATCATATCACATCTAATCACATGTAATAAAATGATTTACATTAGAGCTTTTTTTAATATTATTATTATTTTAATACAGAGTTATACTTAAATACAATGTGAGGCAACGATGACATCCATGTAACAAAGCTGAATAACGTTTCACTAGCTCTCCATATAGAATATTGGTAATGATAGCATTTATTAAATTTTGGGAGGAATTCCTAACTTGCTTATCTCAAGCAAATTACACAAAAATGTTTATCAGCTGGAAGACTTACAGATTTTTTCAAGTGCTGTAGGAAGCACTGAGAGAACTCAAAGAGGAATTTTTAGACACAATCACAATGTACTGTATACAGAACTTTTTCCCTTCCACACCAGGGGCAATTTTTGTTGCCAACGGTTTCTACAAAACCTTGAGCAGCCTGAAAATTACCTTTCTGTACATTGTCCTCTCCTCATATGCTACAGCACAGCTTCTGCATTCAGTTACAATGCTGCTGTTGTCTGTTCCTATCTATGAATTGCAGAGTTGAATGACAGTAGGTGAATGTGCTGAAACACCAAAACTAAATGGGGAATTTTTACAGTCATGGGTGAGTCTGAGATTGCTGAATTAAAAACATGCCAATATAAATAGACAGTAAATGCAATATTTGAAAGAAGGGCAACAGTAGCAATGAAAGGAATTCCATTTTTATTGAGTCTCTGTCCATTTGTATGCAGACAGAACTGTATTTTAATTATATATAAAATACGATCTATTAATTAAATATACAGCATAGTTAATATTACTAACAGGTTTCTTAAAAGCATACTGTATATTCAGTGACTGGAGGTAGAGCTTAGATAAACACTGTTTCCTCAAAATCATACTATTTATTTTGTCCATCTCCATCAAAATGTGAAGTGTTCAATAACAATAATAGAAATTCCAGAAAAATCTGTTGTTAGTGGACTTCTGGCAACTGACAACATACTACAGAAGTTTTAATAAAAAAAACATTAAATAGGCATAGCTATTAGATCCTTCTCCACACACCAGGCTAAAGCACAGGACTAAGCAATCCTCTCAAATCAAAACTATCTCATGAAAAATTTAGTTGATTAAGTCAACTTATGTCAGATATTAGAAGAAATTTCTTTACTGAAAAGGCTGTGTGGCATTGGAACAGGCTGCCCTCAGAAGTGATGTAGTTACCATCTCTGGAGGTCTTCAAGAAACGTGTAGATTGAAAACTCAGTAGCATGGTTTAGTGGCGTACTTCAGTACTAGGTTAAAAGATTGGAATAGATGATCTTAGAGTTCTTTTCAGACTTGAATGATTCTATGATTCTAAGAAAAGCATTCTGGAGCTTCTGATTTCCAGGCCACTCTAGGATCATATCACTTCTTTAATCACAAATACTGTTCTGTATTTCCTCCTAAAATATATGCAAAATAAACAGTGCCTACAATCTTTTCCTGCAGCTGTTAGAACATCTGATAAGATGACAACATAAAAAATGAAAATATTTCAGATAGTTTGAATAAATTAAAAACAAACAAAAAGCATATAACTTATGCAGACTTTTCCAGTATTTATCTATGTGAAAGTGTTAGGATAGAATGCATATACTATACCTGAATGGAAATACAATCAGTATTTACATTAACCTTCACCTCTCCCACTCTCCTCTTCATCCAGCCCTCTTATTTTCCAGCTTCAGCTCATTGCTTTTCCAAAATACATAGGCATATAAAAGCCTTGCAAAAGCCTAAAAATAGCACTTGATAATTTCTCATGCAATTTTATAACCAGAAAATACTTACTAAACCTCAAGACTGAATTCTGATCATCAAACAATCTCGCCAAGGCGGTACCATCTACCCTAGATGAATTTTAACTAGACATTAACTTCCTTTTATGAATGTCCTATTAGAGAGTCAAAAGTTTTCCTTTAGTTGGTGCACATTATGCAGACTCTCTATTCATAACTGGAGCTATACCAGATGTGGGTTCATTACTCATGTTCAGATTCTTTCTTACGAATATTGTGCAAGCCATGCTACAATTTCCCTTGTGACCCTTAAATTGAAAAAATAATTTCAATAATGCTGTCTTAGTGCAAGAAGTACTTTCCAAGCAGCATACTTTTTTTTGTTTCTTCATTTATAAAGTTTAGCATTTTGAAGTAGATAAAATACGTATTTAAATGTGTCAATATTCAGGATGTGAACCTAAAGAAGAATTTTAAATGAAAACCGTCCAGAATTCATATGATATTTTTCCACATTCAGTTAAGATTACAAATATTTTCCTACAAGAATGGTACAACCGTACTTGTTACTTGTTTCAAGTATTCATTTTTCCACGTAAAGTGTTTTAAAAGTATATATATGTGATCCAGTCCCTGGGAAATATTTTAGTACTATTTCCTAGAAAGAGTTGTTCACATGCAGCTTGAAAATGAATTCTTCACAGAAGTGCCAGTGGCTGGCAAAGATCACCAAACAAAAATAAGCCAACATGAAGTTGAACTGTATGTTGCCATCTTTGCTTTGAAAGGAGTGCAAGTGCAGAAAAATCATAATTCAGCAAATTAATCTCATTGCTGTACAATCATATATATATACACTTGTGTACTTAATAACTTTTTTCTGCTCCTCCATCCCATCCCTTTCCCCCCTCCCATATGATCAGCATCATCCATATTAGCTCTTTTCTCTTTTTGGTATCTAGAGGACAGTAAAATTTGTACAACGTATATAATGAAAGTACGTACATGTATACTCTTTATTTGTAATGCTTATATAACAACAGATTAAGGTAGCACATGTGCTATGAGTTTCTGATGCTTTCCACAAAGCAGGCCTCATGTGACTCAAGTTTAGAATAGAAAATGCTGATGTCTCTATTACGTGGAAATAAACAAATCAGAAACATACTAAAGTTTCTTATGTTCTATTATTTTATTTCCTCTGATAAAAGCTTTTCTACCCATGCAAATTAGTAAAACAAAAAGATAATAAAAACAATTAAAAGACAAAAAAAAAAAAAAGCCATTCAGGGCTATATTCTTATTGTAGAGATTAAGCCCAGCAGTTTCTCTACCAAACTAATGAGAAGAACCCCATTCTCATTTCAACTTGATCAGAGGGAAAATACCTATGGATAGGGTACTCCAGGATACTTCATAGGCTACAGCATCAGTCACTAATCTAAATAACATTCATTGTTTCCTGTTTTATCTTTCCACCTTTACATTTCAAGAAGTTTATTTTTAGGCTCATGCAGTGCTTTTGAATTCATACAAATATGATAAAAGCTCAGATACTATCCTTGGGTAAGTTTAGCACTCATAGCATGCATTTGAAAAACAGCTACCTCAAGTCAAAACCAACCTTTCATTTAGATGTGGATTAAAAGAGAAAATCATTGCCCACTATTTTTCATCCTCAGCTAATAAGCAGATATATGTATGGTATGAATTAAAAAACTGCATTAGAAAATAAGATTGAAATCATTATAATTCATTTTATTAGATCATTCAGTCTAAACTTATTTTTTTTACACTCTTAAAATACCACAACATTATAAGTAAAATTAATTTCTGTGATGAAATATAATACTTATTGCTTGATATTCTGCAGAGGCCGATCACAGTAAGTACTGAAACTTCCATCATTCCACAATTCTAACACAAGAGTAGGATAAATACTGATACATTTCATTGCTTTCTCTGTTGAATATTTTAGTAAAATCTTAAACATATTCAATAATGGCCAAAACCTGAAACTAATTTTCAAATATCTTCTTGCATCTATTGTTGAAAATTCCATGTTCCTCTTACCTCATTTTGGAGGTCACGGATCATTTTGCTTTTCCTTTCCATTTCAGTCTTCAAAAAGTTAATCTAGAAGTTTTAAAAAAATTCTGAGTAAGTTCTTGAAATGTAGGTAAACATCATCTCAATTTTTTTTTTTTTGACCTTATTGATGGCTTTTAAAAAATAAAATTAAATCTGGCCCTAACAAGTAGTGTTCTAGTATCTTAGAAAATTATTGTCGGTCAATCAAATTGGTATAGGTCACAGTTATTTACTGATAATCTATAAATGCACACTATCATATGTACTACGAAACATATAATGAAAATAAGAAAATAACTTCATAAAAAGGCTTTGTACCAGCAGATATAGTATTTGTCTTTTGCAGTGAAGCCCAAGGTGATCTTAAGAAAATTAAAGATTTTTATAAAAATATTATCTGACATTGTAGTCTATAATATTTTAACCATCTAACAACACCACATTTATAACAGCAGGTTTCTAACAATTACTTGATTCAAATGCTATGCTACTGGCCCTAACAAGATGAAGTTCTCAATTCCCATCAGACTGATCTGTGGAATAAAGTGTAATTTGTTTATATAAAGTGTTTTAATTTGGTCCTTTGTCCTTTTTTATTTCAAACATTTGTCTTGGGAGGTAAAACTTTCAATTCAGTTTATCAAAGAGTTTACAAATCAGCTGAAGTTTCTCTTAAGAATGGACTTTTCTCTGGACTTAAAGAACATAATGGGAAAAAGGAGATGGTGATTATAGGATTAAATCAACACAGTCTCTTTACTGTAAGGTATCCACAAGCATCTTCCTTCATTTTGCACAATTCTCATGCTTTTATACTCAATACCCCATTCATTGTTCTCTCCACCATTGATCCAATGCTCTACCTACATTCCTGGGAAACCACAGTGCGTCTGCCACTGCAAGAAACTTAAGAAAAACAAAATCTCAGAAAAAAAAATTACTTCAAACGTTGAGTTAGGCTACAAATAAGCTGACACGGAACAAAGTTTTGAATATGACGCAGATCAAAAATGACAGTGAATCTATGCAATCTGTCAGTTGTTCATGTCCGCACTCAAGCAGGTAGATGTCAGTAATTTAGCCATCACTGGGCTTGACATCACTCTTATCAATATCAAAAGAGAAGTTAGAGAACAATATCACTTAAGAGAGAAAAGTCAGTAGGGGGTACATGAGACTGACACAGAGTTTCTTTTTTAAGTGCTTCCCAAATGTTGTCTAAATAATTAGGTAGGTTATGGAAACACTATGTACAGATACCAGTGAGGATCATGTTTTAACAGAAAATTTGGTGCTTCTCTAGTGATTATGTCTGCAAATAATGAAATTTGGTCTATGTACAATGTATAATAAATAGCAAGTTCTTGCACAACAATAGAAGTCATAGTCTAAGTATGAGGTCAGGATTAACTGAAAAAATAAGAAATTAACTAGTCATATGATACATTTTCTGCTGTTTAAAAGATTTGTGAACTACCATTTGATGGTTACAAAAATATATTGCTCTGTTAAAGAGTGTTTTTTTCTTCACCCTAATTCTCAAGGGAATGCTAATATTCCTTCAGAGCATATCACTTCTATCTAAATATGAATATATACGAAAAAACAGAAAAGATATGGTAACAGACTTACTGACTGTGCTCTCTGTACATAGCCTGTAAATATAAGTTTGGATCTTCCAGTGAAAAGATATCTATGACACCACCAAACTGTTAAATTAACTAGCAAGTTAAACCAGTAATTTATGTTAATTGCTCCTCACATATACATGCATCTGATATCACTTTTACAGACATTTTAAATAGTTACACATAGTTAAGTTAAATAACTTACACATTTTCATTAGTCAAGTAAGCTAAAACTCTAAGAAAGCTTTTTTTTCAAAGCTTTATTAAACTTTTTTTTTTTTAATTATTATTAAGCAGCATTAATTATGAAACCATTCATTTTTGCTTGCATATCACAGCAGCATTTTTAGAGCTCTTCTACTAAATCTCTAACAGCTGAAGAGCCACTTAGTCATAATGTATATTGGTAGAGAGCTATATAGGAGGGATTTATGTGGCATGGCTACTAGAACTACTACAGAGATAATCTATCTATCCATTTAAATACATCTATGTCTATAATTTCATGCTTTAAGGCAGATGAGGCTGTACCAGATTATCTGCATGATGCTTTTAGTCAGTCCCAAGGACAGGGAATAATAATTTTGCTTCAGAATCTGAAGTCATAATGTACAGTTTAGGGGCAAATTACAGTGCACAAACTGCTTTTCAAGATAAGTGTAAAATTTGGCTTTCAGTCTCCAAATCTTGATAGCATAATACACATTAGTAAGTTTTTAAGCTCAGCTTTAACGTAAACATACACAAACTGAAGAAAAAAAAAAAAAAGAAAAAAAAAAACTATGAAACTTTCTACATAAACTCACAGAATGGGTTGGAAGTGACCCTTCAGGATCCCCTAGTTCCAACCTTGCTGCCATGGACAGGGACACCTCCCAACAGACCGAAACCCCACCCAACCTGGCTTGGAATACTTCCAGAGATGGGGCATCAACAGCTTCTCTGGGCAACCTGTTCCAGGGCCACACCACCCTCATAGGAAATAATTTATTCCTAATATCTAACCTAAATCTACCCTTATTTAAAGCTACATCTTTTCCACTTCCTACCTGCTCTTGTTTCTTGCTTGACATTCAGCTCCTTCTTAATGTTGGCTGTCTTTAATTACTATCTAGCTGTAATTATGAAAATACATAATGAAAATGGATTGGCGTTCTAAGGCTGAACTTTGCAATATTAAGCAAGGACACTGCTTCTGTCTCCTGGAGACAGACATCCAAGGTACTCAGAGCTTTGTGTGCTTCAGAGCTCATTATGTTTATTAAAGGCAGCAGCTTCCATCCAGTAGCCTTTACTCACAGCAGTCTGTGACCTTGAAACGTTCAAATTAAATTTTCCCCTATCGAAATACAGAATGCTTTAGCAGATGGCAGTGATCTAATTCTAAGAGTCAGACAATAGTTAGTTATTCACTACAGACGAAGGATGAAGGAATACCAATATAAAGTCATTACTGCACAGTCAAAGCTCAGCTGTACACTTACTCGCTTACCTCCAGACATCTTGTACAGTGTTCAGGACTAAGACCTGAACATTTAAGATAAGACTGAAATACACCAATACTTAACTACTTCAGTAATACTTCATAGCCCTAGTATACTCAATATTCATTTTCATCATCTTATTTTCAGATTACTGTAGGAATTGATTCCAAAAGCCAGAGAGAATGGGTTACACTATTACATTTAAAAAAATAAAAAATAAAAATCCCACCTTTGGAAAAAAGTGATTGGCAAAGCCTTAAATTCTTCTGAAAGCAAAACTAAACATACTTTTTTTTTTTTTTTTTTTTTTAGGCCTATTAGGATTTCTTCAGTGAATGTAACTTTTAAGTTGTAAGCTGTATTTTAATCAAGAAACATTTTTGTCAGAGACATTTAGGACTTGGACCTGTCATAAGAACTGTTAGTAAACAAAACACATTCAGGTGAAATGGATGTCTTGTCTTTTTATGAAAAGCATTGTAAACATGAGTTGAAGATAGCTTTAAAGATTCTTGTTTGTCAGTGAATCTCTCTGAAATCAATTTTGCATGTTCTATTTGTATTTTACTACTAAGAACATCCTACTGATATCAGATTAACCATATCATTGTTTATTTTTTGCAAGTCATGCACAATCTATTACTTAATTCTAATTTTTTCATAGTGAAGACCGAGAAGCTGGAAAAAAAAGATTTTATGCTGACATATTTTGTGCTTTATTTTGACAGACTGTATGACAATTGTATTGTCAAACAAGTCTGTCACCATGTCTTTTTAAAAATTGTTACCGTGATATAAAATAGCAGCAGGAACAAAATTAAAAAGGCTTCATCTACCTACTGTTCTACCAGAATGTGTGTACTACCTTCACTGTTTTTTTTTCTCCCCATCCTCAATGTCATTTTCCTGTTTCATTCTTTACTTTCTCACTCATCAAGAGCAGTCTATCTCATTTTGTAGACTTTGAAGTTAATGGAAAGCAGCTTTGAATTTTTTTTTCTTCCTAAAAATTAACTGTATCATCAAGAATATTATTAGTTAGTATGAAGCACAGTCAAGTGAAGAGCCCTTGTACAAAAAGCTATCAAGAGCTTGTTAACCTAGTGCAGAGATACAGAATCACTACAAATCTATGTATTCAAGTTCACTGAAAAACTGTTCACTGTAACTTGTAAGTTACATAAATGTGTCATTTGTCCTCTGTTTCTGTTAACAAAAGCTAAAACTGGTCCATGCTCCCTAATTATGTTTCTTGAAGAAGTAATTCCACCTCACATTAACACATAATTTGACTTTATTAACTGCACTAAAACCTATTATAAACTACATTGGTAATTATTAAATGCATACCAAAATGCTCTATCAGCCTTCTACTAGTTGGCTAAAGAGGCCAACAGGTTATATGGATATGTCCTATACAGACAGGACATTTTGTATATGTATTGTACACGTAAATCTGGCAGAATGCTCTTAACAAACAATTTTAGAAATGAATTTTGAGAGAAAAAACGATAGTTATATTGTGAACTGGCTGGTAGGCAAGAGAAGCTCCTCACAACACAAAGCATTCTGTAAGACTGCATTTGACCTTGAACTTTGCAACACAGGACTATTTGAAATTTTTAACTATCCCCACCACAACACTTTTCCTCTGCACATTTAATTATCCTGGCTAATTAAATGAATTGAACCTAATTCTGCCATATAATTTATAGAAAAAAAAAAAAAAGAAAAAAGAAAAAAAAGAAAAAGCATGCCCTAACATGCTTGGCTTCTCTAATCCTAAATAGTTAATAAATAAACAAATAAATAGATAACAAGCTAAACATGCACAACAAATGTCATTACATTTGTGCTATCCTTTATAACTGTTGCTGACAAATCATTTGTGCAAATGGGAGTGAAAAGTGTTGCTGTATGTTGCACAAGATTTGGTTCTAAAGTGCAATGCATTGCTGTAGCATCTTTTTTCATTTAGTTTTCTCCAACCCCTTCAATACTTTCCAGGTTATTTTTCATGTAATTTGACTGATGTAATCCTTCTAAATTCTTGCATACACTTTTGGATTTACATAATTGAGACAGTCATTACCATCACACAGATCATATGTTCCCCATTGAACATATACAAACAATTAACATACTGTCAGTATTGTATTATGTCTCCTCTAAAAGGGCAGAAAATGAATATATATATATGTATCCAACCATTGTTTTCTTCAGTGTTTAATGCAGAAGGCTTTGAGAAATGTACTTCTATTCTTATTTACTCAGATAAAAATCAATATGTAGTTCACCGAGTCCTGTAGAATAAAATGTGCTTAAGTTTGATTAGAAACAAGACTCACAATTCATTGAACTAGAATTAAATTCAAGCTCCCATCCTCCAGCTAGGCTCGCCTTGAAGTACCTAGACTTTCTTTCAAAGCAGTCATATTGCTTTCAAAAACACAGGAAACAGAGAAACCATCTGAACACTCTGTGACAGTAATAATATTTATTTCCATTTCTATTGCAGCTTTCATCTGAGGACCCTGAAGCATTTTTTGAATATTCATTCAGTCTCACTGTATGGGTGAGTTTCATTATGTACATCGTACCCTGTGGCATAAAGAAATAAATGTTACAAACCAAGGAGCCAGCATTGCTTTCCTTAAAATCGATGCCAGATTTAATACTCTGTTATTGGCAAGTTTTAGAATACAACTCAAGAGTTCAGTTTCTCTAACCATCTGACAAGTCCAAGTTCATTTCTATTATCAATTCAGGAAGCGTATTTATTTTTTTTCCTGTGTATGTGCGTGTGTGTTTTTTCATTGTTGTTATTTTCGTTTGTTTGTTTGTTTGTTTTCCTGCAATGGATTTGTGCTCTTCCCAAGTTCTATGCTGGAGGCTGAGTTTATGAAAGGCACTGTTGCTCAAGTTAAAAAGATAGGCATTACATCATAAAAAAAAAAAAAAAAAAAAAAACAGAGCCAATAATCCATTCACTACAGCTGAGATTTATTTAACACAGCAGGATTAATTTTCAATATCAAAATCCAACATAGAGACTCAAAAAAAAAAAAAAAAGTTTTCCACTCTTAATTTGTAGGGCTAGAATTTGCTCTGCCACCAAAGTGTCAGTGCATCTGGAAAAGACAACTTTGGAAAAGCATGTTTTACATACTTATCAGAGAGGATTAAGTTCTAATTTCTTATTTCAGGACAATATATCTTGCCTTAGTTAAAAATCTTAAAAGAAGCACAGATTTATATATGTTTATAATAATTAACAATTGTATATAATATATATATATATTTATATATATTATAATATATATAATTTTATATATACATATATATTATATGTGTGTATATAATATATATTAATAATATTATATATATATATATGTATGTATATACACATGCATATAATCTTCCCTGATTACCAAGAAAGATCCAAGATGCTCTTTTCAAGGTTCAATTCAGCATTCAGTTTACTGATTTTCTCCTGATCAAGAACAGAAGGGGGATTTTTTCTCTGTAGAAGCCTACAAGTGCCAGCAATCCAGTAATTATATGTTGTGGGGTGTGAAGGAACAGGTAAAACAGTATCTTTACCCTTCTGACTTCCAAGCATAAAAGGGGGGGGGGGGGGGGGGGGGGGGGGAGAGAGAGAAGCCACTTTCAATAATTATCTCAACTTAAAAAAACCTGCAAGAGAAATACTTACCTCAAAATCTAACTTCTTTCTAATTAGAAGGGACCCTGTAAAACTATTATATATTATAAACACATACTATATATTTATAACCAAAATACAGCATGACCCATATAAATGACAATCCAAAACTATATGGAAATTCAGGTTAAGCATTGATGTTATAAATGCTTAACTCTATAGTGAAGGACCTGCATGTGCCTTCCCAGCTGTAGCATCTATGGCAGGTCCTTGTTGCATCCCAGCTGCATATCAAAAAGTACATTACAGAAAACTCCAGATCCTAGTGTCTACTAGGAACTCATCCTACTTGCATGAGCCTGAAAATGGGAGTTGGTGCTTTCGATCCAGCTGCCTTAAACTAAGAATCCAAAGTATGCCACTTTAAATCTAACATGTAGACCTCATATGACTACCCACCCTGGGTCAATTACTGAACTGGACCAAAGATCTCTTTTTCAAGTAAAAACATTGTATGACTATCCATTAGCTTCAGTGGGAGTATCACTAGTTCTTAAATAATTAAATAATTAATAATTAAAATAATAAATTCATATCTTGTTCACCAAGGACATAAAGCCCCATAGAAAACAAATTAAGGCAAAGGAAGGAACTTTTAAATATTTGTTAAATTATTTAATTCTGTTCAAACCTGTCCTGGTAACACCCTTGTTTCATGAGCCCGAAAGCCAGTAAAATATTACCAAATAAATCAGCAATTATACAATATGAAACTAAAAATAGCTCTAGAAAACCTTCTAGCAGCTTGTTTGCAGGCCCAGAACAAGAATCACAGAACACTTGATGTCTGAAGGAACATCTGGAAGTTACTTAGTCAACTTATGCTTGGTGATCTTGATGTTATAGCAATACTACTGATGAACCTAACAATATTCACCTACTTATAGCTAAGCATTAAGCAAAGATAGTTTTTATTTTTTTCCCATGATAGCAAAATCTGGCTACTTACATGTATGTCCCATAGCATTACAGTGCTATACACAAATCCAACTATTCCTACTATTTATGTATTATGCTTATGAATTATCATGCTTATGAATTAAAGCATGAAATCTTAATGGGACGTACTACCTCAGTGTAGTGAGGATTATATCTACTATGGTCAAAATCAAACTTTCTGCTGTTTATTTTCTTGCTGAAAATCTGTAGCAATTCAAAAAAAGTCAATGACAGTATGACAACATAAATTGGTATAGATGAGACATGAGGGTCTATAAAGGTAACCTCATAGGTGTAAGGACTTAGTTCCAAACCTCTGAGAGGAGGTACACACACCTAAATCCTACAGAAATTAGAGAAGATGAATATCTTAGGGTTTGACTTTCACCACATCCTTTCTTCTAAAGCTTATAGAGTACTAACATACTTGAAACATAAGATTATTTTTTTTTATTTTTTTAATGTGCAAACATATTTGAGATTACAACGATCTCTTGAGGCAGGAGGTTTAAAAAAAAACAGAAAAAGAAATAACGGAAGAGGGACAGGGAATCACTCACGGTAGCTTGCTGCTTTTCTGCTTTCTCAGCTGCCTCATTAAGCTGCTTTTGAAAGGCCTCCTGGAGAGACTTCATTTCTTCCCTAGTTTGTTGAAAACACAGAACACAAACTTCATCACAATTATCCATTAAGAAATTATTCACTTTCAAGAAAAGACACCTTTAATTATTCAGAGTAATGGACAGATGTGCTGTATCTACAGGTGTTGCTAATAACACTACAATGACCCCATGAACTGTAGTACCAATGCAAGACAAATTACCCACGATGGAAACTGTCTACACCTTTCACATCTACCAAGCAGCATGCTGTGCAAAACATCTGCCACTGCATAATTTCTAGCAAGAGATTGGCACAATAAGAGCAAGAAAAGCAGGCTACTGAAAGTACACTGAACTGGCACCACACTAATATCAACAACTTGTTAAAAAAAGTAGTAAAAAATACTCTTATATAATTCAGCTTTCACTTGGCTCTTTCTAGAGAGAAACAAGAGGAAATTCAGTAGAAGATCCTGGCATACAACTGAACAAGAGAAAAAAATAATTGTTTGGACTGTTTATTTGAATCAAAAAAGCTTTGAATTACTGATTTAATCAGAAAATGTCTCCAAAGATGATTGCAGCAAGCTGAGATCCTCTGCTGGCCATCTCTTTGTACCTACATGACACATTTTGGAGCTGTTACAAAGTACCAGAGTGACATATTTCCGAACAGCTGCAGAGTATTATCAGTGCTGCTGCTTGAATGGATAAACCTCCAGGAATATTGACCAACATAGAACTGGGTTTATATAACATAGAACCGGGTTTATATACAGCTGATAATTAAACCCAATGAAAAATAAATTGGAGTGGAAGGCTTCAGACAAGAACAGAACTTCTGAGCTGCTGTTTCTTAGCTGACACCTCTATTACTTTTGCAATTTTGGGAAGGTTGGTACAAACAGATTTGATTGAGATAGTGACTGAGCAGCATGAAACCAATGTATTATCAGCACAGTACAGCTCCGTTTATTGTACAAACAGATGTGATCATTCCAAAAAGTTGATGGTGTACAACAATAACAAAACTGGAGACACCGTAGTAAGTGACCAAATTTTACTTGCAACTTGAGAAGTACTGAAGAACTCGCACAAAAGGAATGAAAAAAAATCTAGTGTGAAGTCAGCAGAGCTAGCACAAGCCAAGATTTTAGCACTCCAAACTTTACTGTATTATCCATCACCACAGGAAATAATCAAAGCAGTGCCCACAGACCAGACAGAGCTCACATTTGTCCAAACCAAGTTGATTGTAAGATTAATATTGTAATATATTCTGGATTGTGATTCAAATACAGCACATTTAAGTGGAACCCTACGTTCACTGTTCTTGACTTACTGCAGAAGTTTTGCCTGAGTTTCTTGGCAAATAAACTGTGACCGTTTGTTAAATTCTGTGAGGGGGATTCCTTTGAACATTATTAACAGTTGCTTCTTATATTGGACTTCCATAGCTCTCATAGTAAAGTATAGTGAGCTTGTAAACAGTTTTCAAGTACCCGCAATAGTTCCAAGGCATTTTCTTGAAGCATATATTAAAAGTCTTTTCTTTGCTGTAGGTGAGTGAGGGTTGCTCAGTAGCATCCTGCATGTTGCACTGATTCCCAGTCTGTCTCTGGGAATTGCTGCTGCGCAGTGGTATACTCAGTAGTTGATACCCTTAGAAGCACAAGTTCACATTTCCTTTTGGATGGACTTAGGGACCAAGGGGAGATTTAAGAAAGTTATTATGAAAATAACTTGGAGTATATGACTAATGTATTCAGTTTTCCCTTAGCCCACTGGATTTTCCTATCAGCAACTCAGAACATCTATTCACTGAGTAGTCTTAATACTTGTAAATAAATTAATGTCACTACTTTATAAGAGTTGCACAACAGCCAAACCACTGCAAAAACACAATTATGTATGAAGGATAGAGCCCATGGCAAGGGCAGCTATGATACTGAGAAATATACCTTTCAGTTGTACCAAAGTCATATAAGTGTTTAAATAAGATAATAGCTGGGCTAAATGTATTAATCATTTAATAGATTCATCTGGAATATCTGAAAGATTCTGATGTATGTGATCCTTCTCCATGGAAGTAAAAATACAAAGTTCTGTAGTATTTCATTATGGCTTCAATTTGTTTTGTATTGAAGAACTAAAGGTTACTTCTGAAGTAACTGAACGTTACTTGTACTACAAGCCTTCTATACAACAGTGTAATTTTGTATGTACTTCTACTAAATGCAGTATCAGCAATAAAAGGAATAAAGAATTTAAGTATTACATTTCTATCAATGAAGGCAGTAGGCACTGTACTTCATTAAGTTTTTAATATATGTCTGTCTAGACATTGAGAAACATTGCTTCAGATGAAGTGACTGCTCTCTATATTAGTTATGTTTGAATTCCAATATTTAAGAGAATTTGGTCACAGAGTGCTGAGAAATAAAAGTACTAACAAATAGAAAGTGTCATGTAGAAGGGTCAAAACCCTTTTCATTAGCAGATATCTCACTATAGCATTTTAATGCCTTTTCCTCGTATATATCCAATATCAGCTTATATGTTATTTGTTTTCAAAATTTCCCAGAATAACATTCTTTATTTTACTGTTACTCTTGTGATCAGCAGCGCCCAGACTACATTAGTGTCTATAATTTAAGGCAGAAAGATGGATGGCCTTTTGTAATCTTACATCTTTTTGTCTAGAAAGGAAAGAAAAGGAAGAAGGTGTGTCCTACCTTTGCTTTTGGCCCAATTCCAGAAGTTTCTGCACATCACCTCTGGCTGATGCTTCATCACTTTTCAGAGACTGGTAACAAAGCAAGAAACAAATTACCAAAGAGATCTTGAATGCTTTTCATTTGTGAAATGATTAATTGGGACCTCTTTCATAAAACATTCCCAGTGAATTACAGGTATTAATGAGACAAGGTTACAAAAGGAGGAATAGCCTGACTTTTCAGCCTAACTCAGCACTGCTAACTGAACACCTGTTGTGTCTAAAGTATTAGGTGAAAAATGATCACATAATATAAGTTTAGAAGCCAACAAAAAAAAAAAAAAAACATTAAGAAGGCAAGACAAATACAAGTGTGAGTACAAAATATAACACCAGAGACCTCTTTGCATCTCTGAAGCATTAAGTCTAAAATACCTCACTGTATAATTTTGCTGAGTACTACCTTCAACTTTGCTGCATTAAAAAATCCCATTCTAAAATAAAGTAGCTTCATGGTGAATCACATTTCTATAACAAATAAGAAAAAAAAATACAATAAAAGAAGGATTGGTAAAGTACTTAAGGCAGCAAGGGACAGGGGAGGGGGAGTAAGAAAATGTTCTATAGGTAACAGTTCACGTTAATTAGAATCAGAGAAATCTTGTAAGATGATATAACACAATAATGTACTATAGTATATTACTGACACACAGTACCCATTTTTTCTGTGAACAGACAGCAGGATGCTACACCATACATTTTTTCCTAGCAAGCTTATACCATCAGAAAGTTAAATATGCAATGTCAGAAAAATACCATCCATTAAAAAGGCATGTAATACAGGGAAAAATCTTAACTTAAAGGGAGCCTGAATGTTTTCACTAGATCAGCACACCGTATCAGTCAAAGACAAACATGCTCTTGAGTGATCATCTGGTGATTTCAGTACTTCAGATCCAGAGCAGGATCTTTATTCTACTTTTCACTCTGAAGTGCTGATTTGACTGTGAACTTAATCTGACTATTGTCGTTTCAGTTTATATACAATACCCCCAAAATCTCCCAAGTTAAATGCAGAAGTGCCTCAGCTCTAGTTGGCTGACTGCCAGCTCATCTAATACAATTTATCAGTTGAACTTGTAAAGTAATCCCCTGCAGTAAATCCAGTGACTCTGCGTAGATGGCATATCAGCAAGGTAAAGTCAGCAGCTACACTAGGCTGTGTATATGCAATTTGTCAGCAAAGATGCAGCCTACAACAGTAAAGGAAATCCCTTCCTAGTAGCTGCCAGGGTAAACGTGCAGGGTAAGCTCACTAAGACAGCTTATTCTGGTTCTGTTCCTCTTTTTATTCTACTGTACTATATTTTATTTTATTTTCTGAGTCAGAGGGATTTCAGATTCATTCAGATTGCATTTTCCTTGAAAATACACGTTTTACTTTCAGTGCAAGTCAACAAAATTATTATTTGCATATAAAGATCAACAACAACAAATTTTTCAAGTAAATAGGGTGCAATCCTATGTTACAAAAACCCAGATGTAACCTAACCTGGAGGTTTACTTTAATTCCCTCAAGTTCTTTAGAAGTCTTCGACAATTGACGAAGGATATTGCTCCTTTCCTTAAAGACTTCCTTCAGCTGTCTCTCCAGTTCTTCATAGCCCTGTCTAACACAGAAAACAAAAGCATGAGATCCTCTTGTAACATTCCTCAATGTATTTGAAAACAGTCTTAGTTCATCCAAATTTAATTAACTCCAGCAAGATCCCAAATTGGTATGTTGGGAAGGTCCCCCCCTCCACCTACCCTTATAACAACTTGCTTTCTCCCAATTTAGATAAACAGATGCTTTAAATGTTAACCTCACATGCTGCATCTGAATATATAAACCAGACCAAAACACTGGCATTGTGTATTGTTTGTGTTGAAAAAGAGACAGAAAGGATGTGTTTAACAGGAATGATGGCATAGTGTGAGATTTTTCTTGTTTTGAAAGATATTCCACACACGAAGCCAAGCAAAACTTTCACAGTATGAAGCTTCATGACACCCAGTAATTTGGGGAAAGAGTGATTCAGTGCTGTCTGAACTTTGTAAAGACAATTTCATATAAAAATTTCCCCCAACTGAAACCTCCCTGCAGTACAAACTAGAACCAAAAATACACTAAGAGGAATCAAACTTATATATGAATTAATTAGTAAGTCAAAATATTTTGTCTATTCCTTTTTAAAATGGTAATTTTTACTTAGAAAGTAATTATAGTTTTTAAAGTTTTCTGTAAAATCCCCAGTGAAATCCATCTGATAAATTGGTTTAGGTTCAATGAAATACAGATCCAACCCTCACATGCCATTTCATTTAAAAAGCAGACATCTCAGATACTTATTAAACTTTTTTTTTTTTCCCTCTCTCCATTTAAAATCACAGTTTTGAAGAAGACTGATGAGTAAACATCCGTTCCTTGTACAAGTGCAGTACGGAGTCTTTTTTTCCACTGACCTTGCAGTAACTCTACTTGCAAGTAATTCTTAGTGTTTCTAAGAAAGAAGGGGAACAAAGAACCTCAACTCTGCAACACTGGTGCTGTTTTCTGATCAGACCTAGGACGTTGAAGTTAAATGGTGATCTTAACATTCTTTTAATGGATTTTGAGTACACGCTTAAGCAGCGCAAGTCAATAATATGCTATCTAATCGCCATAGATATCTTAATTTTATCACAAAGTATCTTTATATTGAAGTTTTAAGTTTGATCAATAATTATATTCCGCTCACATTGCCAGAATGTGGCAGATCAAAAAGCATGGAGCTGTTTGAGTTTGCATTTTTCTAATGACACACAAATATCTCCACTTTCTCACTGCTGCAAAAATAAGAACAGGGCCTGCAGCGTAATACCCAATACTTTCAGTGAAGATCATCAGCACACACTAGGTTGACTTTTTCAGTAGAAGTTTTATTTTAGAGGACAGCTGAAGAAGAAGAGAGGAGAAAGGATTTCCCCAAGAATGGGTTTCCCCACCCCCCAGTAACAAAGTATCTTAAGCTTTCCCAGGATGGAAGAACACAAAACTAAAATGTAATGCTTCCTTTACCTGATAAATAAAGTACTTAGCTTTCAGCAAGTTATTTTGTCCTCTTGATATGTTTTGCTTTTCCTCTCAATTTGTGAATGAACTTTATTAGAAGAAATGGTGGTTTCATACCATTTCTGTTCTGTTCATCTACCACATAAAAGGAGAAATTAGAAATATTGTTGGGGAAAAAGAAATGCCTCTGAGAACAGCTTTACAAACACTTAGGGCAAAGTCCATGCAAGGAGATTATGTCAGGACTCAATTACTTGTAACCTATGTAGTAACTCAACAGCAGTCAGTTTGGTTGCCCTTGATATATAATTACTTATGTTATCAGAAGTACACGATCAAACACAAGTCAGTCACATCACAGGTTTACAAGGAAAATCCATATTCCAAGAATTTGAACCTGCCACAATTCAGCATTATTTACAACCCACATTTTGCTTCAGATGTTTCTCTCAAGTTGCATGACAACCTACTGTTACGTTACTAAACTTTACTTTTACTGAACTAAATCTAGCCAATAATAGAACACTTGATAACCTTTTAGTTGTTACATGCAACAAATATAAAATCTCCTGCATTAAGCTTTATGAACACCTACAGCTTTTGTCACCACCCCAGCTATATGTGATTTTTAATGAGGCATACATCACAGTAAAAGAGCTGGCTCACCTCGGTGCCAGGAACAATATTAAGTGTAATCAGCCTGACAGGCTTCAGAGAATACTCCTATTTTAATTTGATAATGAACAGAGGTCAAGCACGGATTTCCTCCTGCTAAAGTAGTCAGGTAGTTTCAGTATGGTCACCATTTCCATTCTTCTTTAAGAAGCACAAAACATATATTAGCCTTATGCCACTAAAATGTCGTGCTTTTGTTTAAAGTGAAACCCTGCATTAAAAAACCAACCAGGTGGTAACACTGTCTTAAATAATCACTTCAAATTAAAGCCCTGTCCAGGACTTGAAATTGTTTGTTCTTTGACAATTGCTAAAGAATTGTTAATTTAATTGTTCCTTAAATTGTTGACAATATTACTCCTGATATCAACCTTTGACTCTTAGCACTGTGTCCATGGACAGTGTTCATGTATCTGATGACAGTAAAATTCAACTTTGCACATGGCTATTTATAATACGACTGCAATTTCTACATTGAGAAGTTAGGTCATTTAGACCAAACAAGAGCAATTTAAGTGAAAAATAAAATTAAAAAAAAAAAAAAGGTGAATTCGTCAATACAAAATAGAATTTTGTACTTATATGGTATACTATATTTTGAGTCATGAATCACTTAGATTATTCAACTACTCAAGGACTCTCATTATTTCAAAAAATTGAATATATCTTCACTTTTGCACCTTAATAAAAAAAAAAAAAAAAGTATTCCCAGGACTGAGTTTAAGCAAAGATAAAACAAAGACTTAAGCAATCAATTGTTTTTCTTATTCCTCCCTTCTTGAATTATGAGTAACTGAAATTCAGTCTCCCTCTCGTTTGATGAACTCTCTTTGGAAGGTCTTACACACATATGCAGTATAATTTTAAGTATGGACAGACAGACCATTCTAGAAGTCACTTTTCCACAACAGCATACCCATATCCTGTAGCTGTGCTGTTATTTTCTGAAATTCATATTAAAAAATGAATTGTTCCCATCATGACATAGTAGCAGTATTTGTTATGTGAAATCCTCTAAATCACAAGCTAAGAAGTCCATAAATATAAGAAATACAGAATTTGCTCCTGACAAATATCAAACTCCTCTGAATGTGATTAACAAGATAGTTATTTAATTAAGAAAAACAAACAAAAAAAAGTCATAAGATGTAAAGCAATTCGACCAGACTTAAACAGCGTAATTCCTCTGATTTGTATAGAAGGGAAATCTAAGCTCTATCTAGGTATCTGAATCATACAGCTCTTTAAGAAGAATGCCATCATCCCTCATCATTGAGGAGAAAGAAAAATACGTAAAATTATGAGGCTTATAGGCAAATGTTTAGACTTGATGAAGTATTATGGGAAAGTGAGGAGAGAATGGATTCTTGCAACAAGAAAAACAAGCTCTCAACTGAATGATAGGCTTATGCCCAACTTGGGTGCGAGGACAGATTGGGAAGAAGTTGACTCAATCCGTGTGGCACCATACTATGCCATAAACACTGCAAAATTCCAGCAAATTTCGGAAACCTTCCAAACTTAAAAACTGTCTGAGTTTTGTACTTCTTTTTCAGTAAACTACACATGGGGAAAATAAGTTTAAACCTAATTCTAGGAGCTTCACTAGTTAATTATACAGAGATTAAATCTGTTCTCTGAGTAGTAGGTTACACCAGTTACATCATTCTGCAAAATTGTCATTATCAGCATACTCACCTAAGACTAGAACAAATATTAAACATTTTATTAAGAATATGCTTTTTAAAATGTACATTATAAAACAGAATAATTTAGCAATACTTTGCATGTTAAGGTCATCTGCAATACTGTAATGGCAAGCTGTTTCGCATATATATTACCAGACTATTGATGTAGTGTCAGTGTAAGTCCCGATATCATTTGTTTTCAGGGAATAACATTCCCTTATAGTTCTAAGCTTAGTCAGCTGTTTTGACTCTTCTATTACTCTTACTGACACAACTGAATGTATCATAGAAAACATTTCAATAGATTTTAAGTTTTAGCATGCAACAGAGACTAATGTGTAGCAACTCCACCTTTCCATCACTCCATGTCTGACTTATTTCCTTAAACATCAGAAGTGCAGCTTTTAGTCTTCAAAATATGGATCAAGTTTCTCACTGAATATTAGACAGAATAGCAGGACAAAGGAAAATTGATTTTGTTTTCTGACTGGTTACAAAGATTTTCTTTGAAATGACAACTTTTATACAGATTTCAATTACTTATGGTACACAAGCTTTCATTGCAGTCAGAGACATTTAAAACAACTGTAAACCTCCAGTTTAAGACAAGAAGCTTAGATGGATGCATCTTTCAGCAAATCTGTTGTCACATGTTCTTATATCACTTGTAATCTGTTGTCACTTATAGAAGACGCTTTCTCTGTTTTTCATTTTTCTGCTCTACTTACAATTAACAGTTGAGGACATCCTACTGTAAATTCAAATAAAGTGAGGTAAGATTACGAAAAGGACACAGCTCTAATGTGTTAGGCATTTTTGTTTGTTTTAAAGCACCAATAGTTCTGAAAAGAGTAGACTGCATTCCTTTCCATGCATCATAAACAACAATATTGTTTACAAAGTACACTTGCCAAGTGCAGGATGGCCCAGGTGTTTCTAAAACAATCACTTAAGAGAGATTCTTGCGGGCAGATGGGTATACATGGATGCAGTTTGTATTCAAGTGAGAAAGACTCATCACAATTCTGAATCAACATACCTGGAAGTTGAAGATAAGGATCTCTAAATTTGTAAAAATAAGCAAAATTGAGATGGAAATCACTGTTAATGATAACAGGACACCACACTTGCTTTTTCTCTTCATAAATGAGTATTTTTGATATAGCAACTCAGTGTGAGGGAAGTCATTATTAGCCAACAAACAAAATAATCC